TTTTATTTGATTCTCAATACTCATACACTTGAGCTCATCTTCTCTTAACTTTACCCATTCCTCTTCACACAAATGTCTACCATGGTTTGGATATGGGTTATACCCCAAAGAACTTGTGTTAGAAGCTTGGCTTCCAGGATAGTGGTATTGGCAGATAATGTGGACATTTCAGAGGCAGGGCTTAGTGAAAGATTCTTAGGTATTATGGATGCTGACTTCTAAAGGCATTAGGGTATTTTCCCCAGGAATTTGGTCAATCAACCTCAAACCAGAGTGAGCCTATCCTCTGAATTGCTCTCTGGCTTCCTGTCTAGCAGTGTGATCTCTTCCTGTTGCACACTCTTACTGATGTCATCCAGAATGTCTCTCAGTATGAGACTTTGTTTAAGTGTTGTACTCAAAGCCAGTCCATACAACTCTCTAGGGGTCCACATGACCGCACTTCAACACAATGGGATGGATTTGAAGGTGAGGGGCTTCAGAAAGAATTTCTCCCACAACTTTTCAGTGACATAATTTTCTTAAAGGTTTTTGTATATTGATAACCCACATGGACAGCATCGTGTCAGCATGCCAGTGTCTAAACACTGTTTCTCAACCTAGGCATAGAGGTTTAAGTTTCAAAAAGTTTTACAATGTGCATATATACGGGAGAGCTTGCAGAACTGGGGGTGGGGGGGACAGAAAGAACCCAAAATGAGGCCAGGCCAGGGGACAGAGGAGACTGGGTGTGGAGGACGGGTACCCAAACCGTCGGTGCAACCTAACCTTTCCTGCCCAGATAAGACACAGCCAATTCCTCCTCCCCAAGCTTCTCTCCGTCCCAGCCCCACTCAGGCTTCCCAGAGTGGGGGTCTCTGGCAGCTTTTTTTCTTTTTCTCACAGAAAACCCCCAAATCAGAGAGCCCACAGTTAGCACCTGTCAGTCCAGCCACCTCACCCCTCGTGCTAGGTTACAGGAGAGGCTGTGGCCCTGGCAGTGCCCATGCTGGCCTGCCCTCTCCACCTCCCTGTTGGGCGTCCCCCGGAGGGGGGTATGGGGCTGGGGAGCGGGAACCGTGAGGGCCGCCAGTTCGGTGGGCATACCAGCCTGGCACCGCTGGCACTGCCCACGAGGCTGCCTTGAGAGGACCAGCACAAAATACTGCTGCCTGTGGGGTCCATGGTAGCAGCTGGGCCATGCCCACCCACCTCCTGGTCAGAAACCAGGGGAAAGAGAGGAAGGGCTACCTCACTCTGCGTTGTCATTAACGACAGAGCTTGCCGGTGTGGGACCTTCCTTCTAGGCGTACTCTAGGAAGCACTGAGCTGATGAGATGCCCGCCCCCTGAGAAAGGAGCTCTCTGATCACCTCAGCCTGAGAAGCAGGGCTCGTTCCCCCTCTTAAGAGATCCACATGCTGGTATGCTAAAGAGCCTGTGGAATCTGTCCAAGACACTGGGCATGGTGATAAACCCACTGATTCTCAAACTCACTTGGCCACGGAGCGCCTATTGTCTTCATTTGTTCATCTAAGTTTTCACTTCATGCCCACAGAGGCGATGATCTGCTCTGGGGAAAGCTCTAGAAATGGTCACACGTGGTTCCGGCCTGGGAGCCGACAGATGGATGAGCTGGTCGCAGGTCGGCAGGATCCTAACCGCCCGGAGTCACAGGGACATCGTGCACCACTGTCCCCCAGATGCACTGCGTGGTGGAGAGGCCCCTGTCATCTTTGGGGTCACATAGCCACACTTCACAGCGAGAGACCTGAGCAACCAGCCCTGAAGCCGGATTGCCTGGTTCCTCCGCAGAAGCAGCTGAGACTCAGGGAGGTGAAGCCATTTGTCCAAGGTCACAGACACCAGTGACAGCTCTGAATCTCAGACCAGTGTCTCCCGCCCTCTAGCCTAGCAGTGCTTCTCCATCTTCTGATAGCAAAGCCTCAGACGAGACCAGTGAGGATTTTACCAGATGCACGCAGCTCTTAAGGAGCCTCCTGCTGACCCTTCTCCCCTGCTAAGGGCTGGCTCTGCTCTCCCACCCCTGCCCCTTACTCCACCTTGGAAACCCTGCAACATGTCCTGTATCCCCCTGAGGCGGGTGAAGGGGACAGAGGTTTGCTCTACAAAAACCTTTCCAAGTGTTTCTGGTACTGCGGATTCAGAACTCCAACAGGAAGCAGTCCCCACTTTCTCTTCCAGGACCCCCCCACCACTGTATACCACTGCTATCAACCCAAAGCTTCCTTCTGCTCTTTCCGCTCTCATTCTCATCCTGTTCCAAAACTCCCAATATCTCTGGGACGTCTCCTGCTGTATTCCTAGCAATTCCCCCTATTGCTGTCTTCGCTCTGGCATCTGGGGTCCCTGAGGTCACTTAACCTTTCCATCAGCGTCCTTGAGGGGACAGGTCATGGGCACATGCCAGTCAGCAAAGTGGGCAGCCGCAGAGCCGGTATCCCTGGGCTTCTGAACATCCCCCCTTGTGAGGGACCAAGCTCCGTCCTGCCGTGTAAACCATCACATCTCGCGGTGGAGCTGGAGAACAAAGGCGTCGGGCAGAGACCAGCTTATTAAAAAGGTTGAAGAATGGTATTGGACTGTTTTTGCTTTGTGGGTCTTATTTTGTGGGCCTGCCCTAATTCACACCTACCCCGCCCCCCCAGGCTACAAACCCCTTCCCAAACTTTGACTCTTCACACCATTTTCAAGAGAGAACGGCTTTGAGATATGATTTAAGAGACCTACACCTGCGTGTCCAGACAGTGACCCATGTCCTTCCTCTCTAATACCTCTCCTGGAAGCCCCATGCTCCTGATGGCTGTGTGCCACTGGGCTGACAGAGCCACTCAGACTGCAGCTCACTGTCCACCTGCTGGACTCCGTGAGCCGAGGAACCAGCTCTACTTCCATCTATTGCATTTATTACTCGCCAACAGACTGTGGAACTCAGCTTCTAACACCCTGCATTACCTAACCAGAGACAGCAAGAGGCAAAGGCTAGATACCCTCAGGGGCATAATTTTTAAGCCAGCTTTTATCCTCACATGGCATCTTCCACTGAACTACCCCCTCTTGGTGGTCGGTGGCAGAGGCCAAAGTCCAGCTTTTCCAGGGTCATGGATTCCAACCTGGTTCATGTTCCTTTCCAGGGCCTGTTTTCTCTCTCCAACACCTAGGTACTCAGCCGTTGTCAGAAGCAGCCTCCAGAGCTGCGATATAAATGATGATTATTATATTATCAAATAACATTGCCAAGCCTGGCCGGCTCTCTGTAACGGTGGCGGCGGAGGCAAGCTACAAAATTCAATATTGATAAACTGTATATTGTCTTCTGGAACCATCACTCTGCCTGACAGCCATTCTCCAAGCCTCCCACCATCAGCAGCACTGAAGGCGGACAGTCTGATTAGCAATGGCCCCTGCAGGGCAGGGAGGCGAGGCAGAGGGTTGACAGTCCTCGGCACCCCCCGCTGTTACAGCCTCCCTGGCCCAGATCCGCTCCTCCTGTGGGGTCTTCGCCTGGCTGTTCTACGCCTGGGGTGCATTTCCCCAGATAATTGCCTGGCCCGCTCACTGCCCTCCTCCTGCTTTTCACTCATTGAGGCCATGCTGACCACCACATTGAACACTGCAGTTCATCCCCCACCCAGCCCCATCTCCCTGCTCTGCTGTTTCTTTTTTCCATGGCATTTATTACCTTCTAACATACTACATAATTTACTCACATATTATATGCATTATTTATTTTCTATTTTTCATCTCTGGCTTGTAAGCTCCACACAGGCAAGGATCTCTGCTTTGTTCACTGATGTACCCCAAGCACCATTAAAATACTGTCTGACACGCGGGTCAGCTACTCTGCAACTCTGCTTCCAATCCAGCTGCCTGCTAATGTGCTTCCTGGGAAGCTCAAGTATCTGAGTAGAAGCCATCCACGTGGGAGCCTGGATGGAGTTCCAGGATCCTGGCTTTGGCTGGCCCAGCCCCGGCTGTTGCAGCCACGTGGGGAGTGAATCAGCAGATGAAAGATCTCTCTCTGTAGCTCTGCCTTTCAATAAACAAACTTTTTTTTTTTTTTTTAACTACAGTGTCCAACACAGGGACTCAGTAAGGACTTGCTAAGTGAAGGAGGCTGAAGTTCAGCTGGTATATTTTGGCAGATTTTGGTTAGTGCCATCTGTTGGGGTGGGGGCAGAGAAGAAAGGGTCATTATTTCAGTGTTCTCTACTTTCCAGCAAAATGCTGGGGGCCACCCCACAGCCTCCCATTTCTGCCACAGCTTTGAAAATGTGTTCGTCAGGAGCACCCAGATGTCTGCACAAGGATGTATCCACTAGACTTCAAGCACCCTCCCAACTCCTATTCAAAAAGCTTGCTTAGTTTCCCACAGGATTCTCTGCCCTACTCCAGCACGTCCCAGACTAAAGAGCCAACCTCAGAGCCACGGTTTTCTAACCTGAGTGAGTGTAAGAATCACCCGATGGGTTTCAGGACAATGCTTACTCCCAGGCCTCCTCTAGAGACTGACAGCAGGACGGAGAAGGACCTGCACTCTAACGGGG